GTCCTAAACTGAACAGTCCTCCACCGGCTGAAGCCTTCCTGCTGCTGAAGGAACAGAGGGTTTCTTTTGATATGACAATTCCTATCCCAATAGCTTGAAAGTAAGATAAAAACCCCAGGAAACTCTCTTTTACCATCCTGGGTACATTCTGGAGTCGCCATAGTGGCAGCTATGCCAAGCTCCCCTGAAATTCTCACTGAAAAGGAAGACAAATTCTCAAGCCTTCTCTATGGCATCCCCATCCATCATGTATCTCACTTTGTACAACACCCAGGCTTACAACACCAGGCTTAATCTACTATCTGTCTTACTGAAAGCCTCCAAGAGGACGCGAAGACAGAGGACAAGTATGCCCAACTGCCAAAGAGGCCTCCAATCAATAATGCACTTACACATATGCAAAATTCCAGTCTTCTTACTTAGTATTAAACCAAGAAAGTAAAAAAAAGCTAGGCAAATTAGGAACACCTTTAAGTGTCATGCTGAATCAGAGCAGGGAATAGATTTTGAATAACCAGTTTTAAAGGCATAAGTCTTATCCATTGATACTCTGTAGTAAAAATTCACAGATTTTACCAGACGTCTGAGAACAGACTGTGATTTACTACAAATGAGATGGGTAAAGTGTTTGGCATTAACAGGAAGGATGATCAGTTATGCCATAATCTCTCCTAAAGGCAAGAGAGAACAAAAATTGATAGCACGCCTCAACATGTGAAAGACTTGAAGAAGGAAAAATCAATTTATCAGTAAGACCATGGAAGAAAAAAATGATCAAACAGGAAAAAACATCTGGACCAGTGAGCTAATTGCTTATTAAGAAAAACAGACTAGTATTTCATATATGAGAGGGGAAAACAAATTTCATGACTGGTTTCAAATGAAGGATAAAGAAAACCTATTACATGAGACCAAATATTAAGTCTTGCATCCGCTGAGCAGAATTTAGAGCAATTTTGAGAAAGAACTACTGCTATTTCAAGTGATTACAGTGCTAAAATAAATTATTTTTAGCCAGACAAGGATCTCATCATAGTTCGAATTCCCTGTGGTGTCATTTCATGTTATATTTGAGAAAATCCTCAATAAAAATGTCAAATAGAAAGCCAGTCAAGTTCCCCTGAGGACAGTTTTGGACATTTTCCAAATTTTAGCCATGAATTCTTAATCAAACACCTCCTCCCAACAAATAAATAAAAAAGAAATTTCACTTGATTAGAAAGAAAGAGAGAAATGTTGAAACAAGAACTCAGGAAAAAACACTTAACCTGTCAACTGCATCTGGTCTAATTAGTTGTGAATGCTCCAAGTTCGTTATTTATAAAGAAGATTGTAATCATCTTGCTACACTGACGTTACTAGAAAGACATCCAGTGAAGGTTTAAAAAGGAATGTAAACCTTGTCGAGAAGAGATGGCTTAAGATTTTGCATAGACTTCAGTCAAGCAAGAGATGCAGAAATCCTGATGTAACGGTCTTGTCCATTACAACCTGTTTACTAGAGTTCCTTGATGGCCTACGGGACTATCAGTGAACTATCATGGGGTTCCATCCCTAGACCTTCTATCTAAAATCACTAGACAAAGATTTCTGGTGACATGTGCGTGATAAAATGCAGCCCAAGTCACTGAGAGAGCAATTCAGCTGTCTAAACATCGGAGTCGGGTGCCATTTTAGATTCCTTATATTATCCCATCTAGCCTCCATCTCACACTCCAGATCTACTCCTGTAGATCTCACATCACATCTGCCAGCTCCAGGGTGTCCTCACTGGTATGAGGCTCCTATGTTTAAGCAGTCAAATTGCCCCCTAAGAGTTCTTGCTGCCTGGCTCCCCACATGCTGACAAAATGGACCCCAACAGTAATGCCTGGAAGGCCAAAGGATGGGGGAGAAGTAGGAATAGTGTAGTCTGATGTAGGGTCACTCCTAGCAAATCTTCTATCCAAGCACATACACATCCATGGTGCTGTATGGAAAGACGGTTCAGGCAGGATTTTCAAAATCAACCTACTGCGAGTTTCACAGGCTTATCTACAAATTCTATGGAAATGACATAATTCTATACAAGATCCACTACAGCCCTACTTAATGTGTTTACAGACTTAATTTCAGCATGCTGATCAAACATTACATGCCTTTTCTAAGAGGAACATAAATTTGATACATGGAATATATGATAAGGTACCTTCATTTTGACAGTTCTGTAAAGTCCTACAGAGGTTTGGGGGGAGAGAAATCAGTAAAAGAATGCATTGAAAGGTGAAAAACATTGTCACTAATCTTATGAAGAGTTCTTTGTCTCCTTATAATCCATGAAAAGTAAGTGGTTTCTCAAAAAGTGAGAAGAGGTGGAAACCAGTGGACTCATCAAAACTTTAATTCCTTTCAATGCCTAATTGCCTCATGGGAAAAAAAATTATATATCTTTGGAATAAATTAACCAAGTTTTACATACTGGGAAAATTTTCCAAAAGGTTACAGAAATACTAATTTAATCATGTGCAAATACAAGGTTTGTTTTTGATTTGAGACCTCACTGTGTCCTCTTAACAGCAGCCAATTGCATTTACACATTTCTGGTGGCATAAGTGAAGGGAAATACAATTACTCCAAAAGGGGAAAGGCTAGAATGTCCCCTTTTTCAAAACTGATACTGTGCTAATGGGCACAAACAGGCTATCCCAGCAGTCAGTGTAACTGATAACGGCAGCAGCCAGCTAGGGACCAAATGATGATGGAAAAATTAAGTTCCCTCTTTTCTAGCAATGGTGTCCCAAATCTGAGTTAGCATAAAACAGGCAGTCATAGCAAGATTTGCATGGCCACTGTCAGGATTAAAAACTTCAGTCTGAGACCTTACAACCAGACACTTTCCAACCAGATACTTTCGTCCTCAGCAAACTCACTCAAATTTTAAAGAAGGGAGAAAGAGGAATGTTCCTTGATTCCCTTTTCAGTGCCTCTAAGTAAAAGCAGTTATTTTACTGAGACGTATCAAAGACCATTCATTAGCTGCAAATATTCAATCTGCATTTCAGGAACAGAAGCTTCCCCAGTCCATGGTCTCAGAATTAGAAAGGCAACTGTGACCTCTTTCAGTATCCTAAAATTGCACAGTAGGAGAAAGGGAGCTCTTTGCTATTATTCCCACTCATCTGTTCACTGAATCTCTTCTAGAAGCAACATGGTTCCTAACGTTTTTGGGGTAACACAAAAAGTCAGCTCAGAGTAGACCATGAGTATGGGTAGACACCGATTCTAAAAAACCTGAAAGATCTCTTGGCAAGCTTTGGATCAATACTTTCAACCGTAGCCACCTGTTAAGCACAATGGTTTATACTATTGCAGGCCTTTTTTTTTCCCCAAAAAAACCAAGTGGCTGAATAGAAATTAACGAAAAGAAAATTAAAAATTTGGCTCTCTCTAGATCCAGCCTATATGTTTCATGACCAGAGAGCAACAATACAGACAGCAGGGGTCCAAATAAATCCCACAGATCTCCTGAAGGGTTCATCCTTTATCAAGTCACTCCTTTTGCTGTTCATACTTGCTAACCTACTTTTCCCTACTATATGAGAATCATTTGGAAACAAAGTTGAAAATAGCAAGCTGTTTGAAACAACGTACATGCACAGTTATTTGAATTCCAAATAGTTTAGCTATTTGATTATGTTTGTGTCCTGTTTTATTAAGAAATATTTATGAACATTAGTATAAATAGAGTTTTTCTTTCTTTTTAAAATGAATGTCTGGCTGCTCTTTGTATAAGAAATACCTCTTGCACAATTAATCATTTGACCACCTCAGGTTGAGGCAAATAAATCTATTTAGTCTGTTCTATAACAAATGAAATTTGGAAGTTTGAGTCAAAAGCCTGTCAATGGTCAGGTTATATAATCCATCTGAACAAATATTACTCAGTTTGAAAATTAACCCAGTAGGAAATACATCTACTGAAAGGCTAACCAAATCCTTGCTCAGAAATTCTGGTTGTTCCATAGCCTCAGTGAGTGCAGACTGGAGTTGCTGGACTTTATTATTTCTGGTTCACTACCTGATTTCTTGACTTTTATTGCAAAGAATCTCAGTTTTTATCAAAGTAAGGGTGCTGTGTAACACAGAAAAAATATCCCTTTTCCGCACTGTTTTATAAACATAGCCTTGAAATGAATTTGGGACTGTACCAAACACTGGTCATTGCATTTATATTGGGAATATTGAGAAAGATAGTCCCTAAGCGCTAGGATTTAGCTAAAATGACTACCAAGTAAGCAGGTATGGGAAACTGGATATAGCACTCAAAGTTCATTTCCAGGTAATTGGTGTGAAGAAATTTCAAAATGAAATATACACTTTAGCTTATAGGATAAACCCAACCTATTTAAACCAGAGCAATGGACATGAATCAAAAAACCAGACCCCAAAATCCTCAGACTGCTGAAGCAATTAAGATCCTTCTCTGTACATAGCTGTGTCCCTCCCCTTTGTAAACAGCTATTACTGATAACTGTTTCTTTGCCCTATTTTATTGTCCAAGTATTCCTTCATCACACTTGCACATTTAACATTCTGTAATTTATGTTCATACAGCATATCCTAGAACTATGTTACCATAAAAGGGAAAAAGGGGAGGGGGAGCTTTAAAGATATGACTGGAATTACAAAAGTTGGAAGAAACAAAGTATGTTTAAGTGGATGGGACATTACTTTTCTTAAAAAAGAAGCCCAAACATCCAGCACAGGCTTTGGAAGTCAGGGGGGTTTTTTAGCAATGTTAAAGATAGGCAAATTGATTTGAGTATGTTAGGATTAAGAGTGCCAACTTTAAGGGTCTGGTCTTAACCACACTGGAGTCAATAGACAGGTTTTAATTTATTCAGTGTGATCTGGATCAAGTCTTTACTGAAAACATACCAGACAACAAAATGCAGCAAGCAGATCAGGCCTTCTTACCGCAGCCATGAAACGAAACTTTCTTGCCAGCGTTCACTACTTACCAAGACAGTTGTGACCATCATGGGCTAACATGAACCCATCATAGCATGTACACCTGTAGTTGCCTGGAATGTTGATACACTCGTGGACACAACCCCCATTGTAGAAGTCATTCTCACACTCGTCAATATCTAAAACACAAGAGAAGGACAAAGAAGCTTTTGTAAAAAGAGAACACTAAGAATACAGAAAAATTTCTCCAAATGAGCATGATCTTTGAATATATGCATGTTCCTAATCTTTCTACATACTCATATTGCATATTTCATCCAACAAATGGCTCAGGAAATTACTGACTGAATATAGCAGGGTCATATATGACTGAAAAGCAGCAAGCCAATGTATAGAACACTCCTTCCCAAAATAATTGTAGTATCATCATAGTAAACAATGATATGTTGTCAAAAATTAAAAAGAAACACCTGATGTTGGTACATTTTTTTGTATTTAAAATGTAGGTTTTGCGTTTTGTCTTTAAAATAATCAAGCAGACAATGAGTTAAACCTTTGACTTTGTAGTAACAAACAACTATCTGAAACATGCTATTAATATGGCATAAGACAAGAGAAAAGTATGCCTTGTTAAAAAAAAAATTGTCTTCTCAGAGGAAGGAAGATCTGGTATATTCCTGACAATACATAAGGCTGTAGTTCTGTACAATAAACCTTGAAAAACACCATTTCTGAAATAGCTGTCACAGTCCACTGAGCTCTATGAAGTCACTATTAATAAGTTGGTACAGTTTTGTCTGTCTCTTCCCCCTTGCCCACAAAACGAGCCCTATTATAATTTTCTGTATAAATTCACATATAGCAACAACAACAACAACAAGTCCAACATTTTATTCTTACAAGGTATGCTAGAATTATTTTTAATTACTTTTTGTACACAGGCCTGTATCTGAAAGAGTACCATGAATAATAAGAGAGGTGCATTCTGCTTCAACTACAAACAATCCTGTTATGAACCCCCCTCCCTCATATAAAAAACACTCCTTCACTCATCTAAAAAATGCAAACTTTCTTCTTTTTACAGATTGTACCTTGGCTTATACGTGGAACACCAGCATCACAGTCACCGCTGTGAATCATTCAGTGGTGCATATCAACCAACTATCCTTAACATTTTTAGTGTTTGGTCACTTAATATTGTCTTTCACCATGAAGGAATTACCATAACACAAAAATGAAACAAGAGAAACAGAGAAATGCTGCCATCCGACCATGAAATTGCTGTGCTGGATGCAGGTGCATATACTGTTGAATTAGCAAGGTTTACTACAATCTAGCTCTAAAGGAAACCTAAAGTTTTATCTATGCTGGCAAAATATTTACAAAGTTTACACTCCAGTCAATTCTGGCAACTCTTGGGATATCTAGTGAAGAAAACACCTTAAAGTATTGCAATTTCCTCTCTAAGAGGAATTAATGTAATATGTTATTACAATGGCAGCAATTACAGGAGCCTTGGAAAAAAATTAAATGCACCAAAATGATTAAGAAGGCATAGGGCCATTTATAATAATGACATAGTCTGCCAAGAACCTATTTGGGCTTACTGTGTTCAAATGAGACAGCAACTCCTAATGCCAGAGCTGGATGTATACAACCACATCTTCAGCTGTTGGTGAGCTAGTTTTGACCATCTCTTTCTCAAACTGGTTTGGGAAATCTTCAAAATCCACTGCTTGTTTCAAAAGTTTTAAAGGACAAAATCATCAGGAAAAAAGAGATAAAAAGAAGCTTGCTTACTTGCGTGTACTAGTAACTGTACTGGTTCAGTTATTTGCCAAGGTGAAAGAAGCTTGGAAACTGTATCATAATTCCTTCTGGAAAGCAGAGGTGAATCTTTTTGTTACAGCCTGGAAATAACTCTCTTTCAGCCACCCTAGGGAACACAGCACTGCCATGCTCTGCTGTTGTCCTCTTCAATGAGCAGTGGAGTAACTTAAAGAGTACATACTGTATGAGACTGCAATTATTATATAAGCATCGCATCCAAGAACTTTTTTAAAAAACCTAGACAAGTATCTGAGAAAATATGAGCATTTGTTAACGTGAGGAGTGCTGTAATTTACAATCACTCTGTTTCAGTTATAGGAAAAGAATTTGAAGTTGTTGTCTTTAAGTGACCTAATTCTTTTTAGTCTGAGAGGACCTGTATCTACCTTATACAGATTGGGGTTGACTCTTCTTTCATTATTACAGGTGAAACTGACACTATCCCAGAAATTTGTTTCATTTCTGTGTTCTGCAACAAAGGGATGGCACTCTCAGAAGCCTCACAAGGCCACCCTGCGGAGAAGCAGCTCTTCCAGGAGCACGTACAACTTGACTAAGAAATGTTCAAAATAAAACAAGAATCAATCTCTTCTGCTTCCAGTATCGCAGTATTTCAGCTTTCTATTTCAACAGAGAATAGAAGACACATCAGCATGCAATAACTAATGTCCAAAAGACAAACCAAACTGTAAAACAGAGTGAGGAAAATGCTAGTTCCCATTTTGTCTAAACATCTTCAGCAGTGTCATGAAAGTTGCTGCGTGCTAACCAAATGCTTTCCCAAGCACTAACAATCTTTGCTAGAAGGTGGCATAGACTTTATGCCAGGAAAGTAGAAAATCTACCTCCAGCAAAATCCACTCCCACTCTTCATTATACCAGTTGCCATTCATTAAGTTCCTGAATGTCCAAAAATCATTACAACACATGTAACAAAATTTGTCAGCACAGCTACAGATCATTATGGGCAAAGCTACTGAAATCAAAGCAAATGTCTGCATGGAGTTGATGAATTTTGGATCAATGTCACAGCTAAACTGTCACAGAAGCCTTATGGCTATTAACATGCAAAAGGAAGAATGGCTGAGGCCTGGAAGTCAATGAGCCAAATTCAGCTTTTAGTGTTGAATTCCACAGATTTGTACAGAAAATGGGAAAGTGTGTGCATTGGCACAACCTTTATCTTGGCATCTGTCAAGGCCACAAATCCCAACTCTCACAATGCAACAGAAGGTGTTCAAAATAGGAGTAGGATTGGGTAAAATCTGTGTTCATTTTAAAGTATTTCTTGACTACTAATGTAAGGGAAAAATCTGGAGTTAATTTAGTAAACACAAATTTCAATTGACTTTGAAAGGAATAATTTATGTGCTTGGACATTTTAAAATGAATAGCCAAAGGAAGCTGTCTGCCCACATGAATTTCTTCTAATTTAGAAAACCACAAACAAAACTTAGCACACAGGTATATTATGCAGATGTGGAATATTTCCTAAAGGAGGTGGATCCATAAAATAGCTAGAAAAATAAATATCAAATTCTTTGTAAGTCTATCTTGATGGATAAATCCACATATTTATTCAGTATCTGAAGAGAAAAATACTTTGGTGTTCATCTTTATCTATTTATCTAGCTGCTTTAAACAAAATACTGCCAAAGAGGTATTATGGAGACAGTAAATAACATTGTCCTTACAAACCTGCCAGCAAAGAAACTGTGTTTTTACCTTCCTGCTCCATGAGAGGTTGCTGCTAGCCCCCTACAGAGGACAAAGCATATCACTTGCAGAATTCTCTATTATCAATTGTCTTCTGCTAAAAAAAGTCATACTACAGTTCTGCAATTGCAGCATGTTGCCTGTTTATCCAGAACTGGTATGCAGCAAAGGACACTGCAAAATGCTGGAACACATACTTCCATGTGGTAATATTTTGCACTTTTATGGCTTCTCTCTTAAAAGCTTTCAAAAATTTTTACTGATTGTTTACTGAGTTTTGGTCGCTGTTCCTCCTAGGACTAATGCACTATCCTCATCTCCACAGAAAAATACAGGAGGTTCCAAAATCCTACACAATTAAGAACAGAGCTACAGCACAAACAGAGCTGTCTTCATCACTTCATAGTTTTATGCAACCTTGATCTCAGATGCTTAGGAAAGAAGTGAACTTGTAATATCCAAAAGTGAAATGCCCTGAAGTGAAATCCCAATCCTACAAAAGTCAAGAGGCGTTTTTGCCACTGGCTTCATGGAGCCAGGAAGACACGTTTCCTGGGACTCACAGTAAAGAAATATGTGAGATGAGATCAGCACTTAAATTTCTTGTTCCCACTTCCAATTCAGAACAAGCAACAGTGTAGCATCAACACCCTTACTTTACTTTTAAGGAAACGGTCAGAAATGAAGTAACATGCACACTGACAAGAATACAAACAAGTTCAAGTCCTGGATCATAATCAGATCAGCATCTTATTCTTTTTAATGACTGGATTTGGGAACTGTAAAAGCCATTAAAATAAATAAAACCAACATGGGAATATTTATATATACTTTGTTTCTTTGGCAGATTCTACACTTAATACACTTTCAGCAATTATACACACACACTGAATAACCTGAACCTAAGGCATTTGTATTTCTCATATCAAGTTGCACTTTCCTTAAGAAGGGAACCAGCTCCAGATCTAAAGGCCAGAAGAAAAGCTCACATGTAGGTTAAAGACTGTTTTGGTTAAGTGCAGGCCAAATTTGCCAAAAGTTCAGCTCTCTGGAAAGCATTCAACCCGAGCAAGAATATTAAAACGATTAGATTCTCAAGAGGAGTTTAGCATCAGCACATTTCCACATGTTCAAAATTACTTGAAGTCTGCTCAGCTCTGCTCTTAAAATTTGCAAGAGTTGATCCAGCTAGATGTATGAAGAATCAGCTGGGAAAATGTTATCAATTCCACTCAACCCGACCTGCTGAAATACCACTTCCCTCTGTGAGTTTTGTGATAGCAGAATTTGGCATCTACTCCAAGTCCAAATTTTATGAAGAAAATATTGACATATCAAGATTCATTAATTTTTTCCTACCCCAAAAAAAACCTTGACCTTCATCTCAGAGTGAAGTCTCTAAAAATCCCTTCCCATGAAAAGCTTTGTGAGTAACTTCTTCTTTAAGAGAAAACAAATTAAAATCTATCATTTGTTACATCTGGTTCTTCCTGAGATACTTTATTTTTTGACTCATAAATGTTAACATCTTTATTCTTTAGATGCTGTGACCTTGGAAATGTTACGATCTAATGAATCAAAGAGGAACACACAGTCCAGTTTTTACAGCTTTCAAGTTGTCATGATGTTTTCA